GGGGGGGGGGGGGGGGGGCGACTAAAGGAATAACATCCAACCAGACCCGGGAGTTCTTGGACGAAAGCTCGAGCAGGCAGAGCCAAAACCGAGCAGACGAGGGAGAGCCGAACTCCCCTGAGCCGAGGCCATGGGCTCCCTTCGGATGCGGCTGCTCTTGCCGGTTGGTTGCTCCGTAGCTCTGCTCTCCTTGGGGGCGGGGCATTTCCTAGACACTTGGCTTTGGGCTCGCAAGCGCGAAAGCATGTGAACTGGGGCCGTTGCATGGCCCTTCAGGTTCTGATTGGTCAAGTCTGCTGGATGGTGATCAGCCGCTCCCCTACTTTGGAGATGTGGATCAGTGCGGCAAACACATGCAGCAGCGGGTTCATGTTCTCCATGTCTGTTCGTGATGTTACAAACCGGAAACCCTCAAGGCGTTTGTGTGAAGGCCGTCTTAATATGACACCCAGAAGATCCGGGATGCTTGTAGTTCTTGTAGTTCGGAACTTCGGTACACATTTTGCATGGACTCTTCCTTGGTTGTGTCGGGCATTAAGTCGGTTAAGCCCTTCCGAAGATTCGAGAAGAACGGAATGGGCCCAGTAGAGACACGGTTCCGTTTTGGATCTAGGGGCTCAGGCGGCCTCAGGCTTGATCTGGCGTGCAATCATTATTCTTCCAAGGCTTTCTGCACGTAGTTTAGCACTGTCGTTCATCTTCCTGGTTGCTTTGGATTGCAGGCCGCTCGCCCCCCGAAATGCTTAACGGGTTTGGATAGCTTTGCATGAATTCTCGACTTTCCTTTTCATCGTCTTATCGCCTACCTGGATAGTCTAAGGTCCAAGGTTGCGTGAGGCCAAGACGGAGTTCAAGTGGTCATAGGTAGGCAGGACAGGCTTTTCAAGGCCCTTCAAACGCGCTTCCCATCCGAGTCGAGACTCTTTTTTCTGCCTGAGGCCGGAGGATCCTTTGGTCGAGTCCTTGGCAGAGCTTACGCCTGGGGAGGCTCGGTTTACTGAGAGTTGGGTCCTGGGCTCCTGTGACGAAGCTTTGGAACCTGGTCAAAACTTGTAATCCCGCACCAACAACACTGTGGATCCACAGCATGCATGTGGCTCTTGATTTGCCATGAATCCGCGCCAGTCCACCTGTGATGATGCAAATACTGGTGGAGACAAGGCCTGCGGGGTCAAAGCTCTGTGCAGAATCCACAAACTGGATGTTTCCCACCCTTCCAGGATCATGACTGCGCGTGCTTGTTTTATGCTGGTTCCAACGTTCTGCTTGTGTCACAGTGTTGGCTAGCATGTTTATTCATCGTGATCTGCAGTTTTTCGTTGCAGTTGGTGCACTCTGTTTACGCAGTGTTGTTTTCTGAGCTGTACTTTCAGAATGGTGTATTAATTTGTAGGGCCCATGTCGTCACGCACGGTGCTACTCGTAGCTCCGGCTCGCATTTGCGATCTAGGGTTTCGGGTTTGGGGTGAAAGAGCATTGTTCGTGCTGAAGGTTCGTGCCTGCCGGGCTTTTGATGGCTTTGGGCCGGGTGCTTCAGGCTTGGCCTGTCCTTCAGGAGGCCCCTCTCCTCCTCCCGTCCGGCCGAGTTGATCTGAGTCCCTTCTGAAAGCTGGCACCCATCGAAACCGATCTATCATACAATTGCAGCGCAAGCCATCACTTTTGATCATGGTTCCATGCCATGAGTTCGATTGTCACACATCCGCCAGTGGCTGTTCTCCGTGCAGACGTTTCAGCCAGACCAAACCACGTGCGACTGCCAAGTGTCTCAGCCAAACAATTCCATGTTCCCGACCAGTAGAACGAAAGGAAATCTCGTCGAACTAAAGGTCTGCACTGCAGCCTCCAACCACAATTGCGTCATTCAGTTGGTCGAGAAGCGGCACAAAATACTGGTGGAAAGTCTCAAGAAGATTCAAGAAGGGGCACGGGTTGCTCTGTCCACTCAAGGATTAGACTGCAGTCATCTGGCGAAAGGTGGAGCAGTTGCAAGCACCAAGCAAGCAGTAGTACAAAAAGCAGGCTCTGAAATTCTGAAAGTGTGAAGTAATCTGCACGCCATCAGAAATTCCTCCATGATGCAGTTTTGGGCCCTTGCGGCTTCATGTCGTGTTGAGCCTGCAGGACTTCATCTATGCAATCCGGCGTAGTTTGGATGGGCTCGAGACTTTGGCGCTGGAGCAGAATGCACCCCGGCGGAAACTGCGCGAGTCAACCGTAGGGCACGAGCTCCCATGTCCCATGCTATCCCATAGTACTCGTAGTCTTTTTTTGCTAAACTTCGGCTCAAGCATTGTGCTCTTGCGACCCCCCTTCGACTCACCTGACACTGTGCTGCCATGGCTTTCCGCCGACTGGTGGCTGCCTCCGCAGTTGCCGTGTGCTCTGCACGGCTGACGAGGTGGGAGAGCCACGGGGAGTTGATGGACGAGGAGGCGTTGAAGGAGAAGGCTGTCTCCCAGGACTTGATCGATGGCGTGAACTCTGCTGAGGGTTCAACATGGAGGGCTGGCGAGAACATCCGCTTCGCAGGTGCCACGCTGAAAGACGCCAAGATTCTCATGGGCACCTTGCAAGACTTGGACGGCAGCATCCTTCCCTACAAGGCTCCTGAGGATGTCGAGTTGCCAGCGGAGTTTGACTGGCGAACGGACCCGCGAGCACAGGATTGCCCGAGCTTGAAGGAGGTTCGCGATCAGGCAGACTGTGGATCTTGCTGGGCTTTCGGAAGCGTGGAGGCCATGACGGATCGCGTCTGCATCGCCAGCAAAGGCCAGAAGAAGATCCACCTTTCCGCCGAGGACGTCACGAGCTGCTGCAACCTCGGTGACATGGGTTGCAACGGTGGGATCCCGTCCACCGTCTACACTTACTACAAGTCTGTGGGCATCGTGGATGGTGGAAACTACGGTGACAAGTCCATGTGCTACTCCTACCAGATGCAGCCCTGTGCGCACCACTCGGTGTCACCGCATTACAAGAACTGCACCGAGGAGGAGCCTACGCCTTCCTGCGCGAGGAAGTGTGTGGACAATGGCGCAGACTGGAGCAGCAGCAAGCACTACGGCACCGGTGGATACAGCGTGTGCCAGCAGGGCAGCGGCACAAACTGTGCGCAAGCAATGATGCAGGAGATATACACAAATGGTCCCATCACTGGTATGTTCTTCGTGCACCGAAGCTTCCTGTCGTACAAGTCCGGTGTCTACAAAGCTGGTTTCTTCTTCAAAGATCCCATGCTGGGTGGCCATGCCATCAAGATCCTCGGTTGGGGCACCGAGAATGGCACGCCCTATTGGCTGGTGGCCAACAGCTGGAACGCCGATTGGGGAGATCACGGTTTCTTCAAGATTGAGCGCGGCACTAACCAGTGCCAGATTGAGAACCCAATCATCAATGGCGGTCCGGTTGCAGGCCAACCCAAGCTGCACTTGGAGGAGTTGGTCGTGTAAGCCCGAGAGCAGCCAGACAGCCAAGGGCATGCCGCAGTGGTTCTGACGTTGGCCCTCCACAAAAGTTGCAAAGGGTTCCAGTCAGAGTTTCGTTTCGCGATTTTGAACAAGAGCCACACTGTTCCGGCGAGCTTTTTGGGCACCCGGGACAAAAGAGAGAAGCCATGTGGCAGTGTCTTCCGTTCCCTGTGCATCTCTCCGACTTCGTTGTGGGACATTTTGTGACCAAGAAAACGCACCGAATCTTCTCCGCTGTGTGTGCCGTTTATACAGACCGTAGAGGGACAGCTGCAATCAGTCTCGGCCTGTCCTGTTATTGAGGTTCTATGAGAAGAGTTTGTTGTTGAAGATCGTCTGTTGATGCTGGTTTGGTTTGGGTTGTGCTGGGAGACTGCGCGCGTCACGGAGCCGTGTGGTCCGCATGTAAGCCCTGTGTTTGTCAGTTGCATAGCTGTACTGTCGCACACTGTGTAGTGTGGTTGCGGACACTCTGTCCTATGCGCGTGTGGTAATCAAAAATCTTAAGTCCGAAAGGGTGCGGGAGCATTGCAAGGCAGCAGGAGGAATCGAACACCAAAAACTCAGACGGCTTCCGTCGTGTTTCCAAGGAATTCAAATGGGCAGAATTCTTTGCCCGGCGAATGCGCCAGCAGCCTGTGTGTCTACTGGGGATTTCCTCGCTGTGCCTTGGCCGACTTCATGAGACCTGCATCCTGGAGGCCTGCATGGTCCAGGATGCTTCACATCTATTTGCCTCATGTCTTTATGCTTACTTGTCTTCTTGTCTCTCTGCCCATGCGTGAAACATATTTAGCATGGCGCGCCGTTTATGTGTGTGCGTCTGCGTCTGCGTCTGCGTCTGCGTCTGCGTCTGCGTCTGCGTCTGCATCTGCATCTGTGTCTGTGTCTGTGTCTGTGTCTGTGTCTGTGTCTCTGTGTGCGTGCATGCATCATGGGTCCGGTCCGGTCTGTCCGTCTCCCTCCCTCCCTCCCTCCCTCCCTCCCTCCCTCCCTCCCTCTCTACTTGCCTGCCTGCCTACATGGTCACAAAGAAAAGCGGACAGACCTTGGAAATACATACATGGATGCCCTGCCGAATCACAGAGGGACAGGCGAATTTACAGACAACTAGATGGGTAAATGATAATGCATTGGGGTAAAGAGGGCATGGGCTTGGGTTCGGGGTAAGTAGCAGTTAAAGTCAGCAAAAGCCCTTTGCGGAAGAGTCTCTGTCTTACTGGTTTCAAATTGGATGTTGGATTGTTTGATGGTAAATCCCGCAGCGCTACAGAGTGAGACTTCTTGAGTACGATTCGCTTGTGAAGCCAGAAGAGATACAGTTGGAGGTTGCCAGCCGCCAGCCCATGATACGAAGGATCCCAATGCGTCACTGAGGTTCCTAGTTGCTGCAGACGTCACAGCGTTCGCTGCCGCAGCCAGCGGGGGTGAGCACCAGATGCGCGTTCGGAGAGCTTTGCTGTTTGCGTCTTTTGGCATCGAGCAGGCTACATGTTTTTGTTGGGTGTCGCAATGAAGTCAGGAGGTCATTCAATTCCGACATTTGGCCTTCGCTGGGAAGATTCAGCAGTCAAGAACGGGGCGAAACGAACCTTGGTGAAACGACCTGTGCACCTAGGCAGGGGCTGGCTCTGCAACATGTGGAGGAGGCGAGCGCCACTTGTGGGTGAGCGTTCGCCAACATAGTATTCCACTTTTGGGAAGTTGGTTGTTCACTGTTGCCTTGTTACTTCAGGAAAGAACGTCCACGCAAGTTTCAGGCAAGTCACATGCCCAGCAGAGCCCGATAGGGGACCCGGCACGTGAAGCGCACACAAAGTATGACAGTGAGCTGCTGCAAACAGGGGCCGAGCGCTTCGCAAGGTGCCAGGGCTCTGGATCTTCTGAGGACCCGAAGGTGTTTGAGATCTTGGATGTCAGATATACCAAGCCCAAATTAGGTGGCAGCCTGCAAGTCCAAGGAAGTGGTTTGAGGACAATAGGTCAATAGGTGAATGTTGCAGGACAAGATGGCCACTGTGGCAGCTGCTGCTTCTTGGATGCTATTCAGTCACCAGCATCCCCTAAAACATGGCTGAATGACGGGTTCGGCCTCCCCGAAAATGATCTTTGCCCCTGAGGCGCAGTGTCCGCAAGGAGATGGCTTCTGGAAGCCGATTCGCACTTCCAGCTCCGCGTCGTGCGGCACTTCCGGAGACTGCCCTCGAGTTGCCAGAGGCCTGAGGGTTTCCTCCAATTCCCAAACAGCAAAACCCCTTAACCTCCTGCTGCAAAGCAAGTGTGCAGAACCAAGCCGAAATCAGGCAGACGGTCCCAAAGTGTTGCCATAAAAGCTTGCCGCCTTATGCCTTTCGCATGGCATCTATCCCAGTCCTAGTCCTACTCCATGTAGTCTGATCTGTGCAATGGGATGGCCAAACAAGAAAGTGCCTCTGGTTCAGAGGAAGGTTTAGGAAGGGTCATGCAGATACTGTTGTGGTTCCTGTAGAGTTCTTATACACTCACTGGCCGTCTCAGGGGTTCTGCCATCTCGAGCCTTCGACACTCCGAAGTCTGGAAAACAAGCACCACCCATATGGGATTTTCAGGAACTTCGGGGTGCCTCATTCGGGGATTCTGGGATCCATATGCCAATTTGTGCTCAGACTCCAGTTTCGGGTTTATACTACTAGGGTTCCAGATGTCTGAAAATCCCATACGGCAGCCTTCCCGGCATGCACAGTTGGAGTGTTGGGGACCTTGGGTTCTCGGCCTGGTTCATGGTGAACTGTTGCGGCAGCATCTCGCAGGTTTTCATACGACCAGTATGCAGGTACGGACATATGCACGTTTTTCGCACTTACTGACCCAGCCAATATAAAGCCGTCTGCATGCAATACCTGCCCGCCCGCCTGCCTGCCTGCCTGCCCGCCCGCCGGCCTGCCTGCCTGCCTGCCTGCCTGCCTACTCACCTGCACGCTTACCTGCATACGGGTGTCTCCATGTGTGTCTGGCTGTCTGTATGTAGGTGTTGTGTTGTATTGTACTGTACTGGTTTGTATCGTATCGTATCGTATCGTATGGTATTGTATTGTATTGTATGGTATGGCATGGCATGGTATGGTATGGTATGTATGTATATATGTATGTATGTATGTATGTATGTATGTATGTATGTATGTATGCAGGTATGTGTATGTGTATGTGTATGTGTATGTGTATGTGTATGTATGTATGTATGTATGTATGTATGTATGTATGTTTGTTTAGTTAAAAGAATACGACCCCAGAGC